GCAGAAAAATTTAAAAGAGACACGCTAAACGTTGCGTTGGATAAGCTGATTATGGATTTAAACAAAAGGAGCCAAGTCTATGAGATGTATAGCAAGAAATTCAAATTTTTAATGGATTTGCAAGACAAAAATATGGAAAACATAGATCTGGAAAGTGTACGTAATATTGTTGATTATTATCCAGATGACGCAGACGAGCATTTAGTGAATGAGTGCATTCAGTTAAAATCTTATTTACTTCAATCTAAGCCAGAGTCTTACACCTCTTGCAGTGAAATTTTTATGCTAATTTATGAAAAGAAATTTGTTGATGTTTTCCCAAATTGCTACACTATCTTAAAGATTTTTTTAACTTTGCCAATCACTAGCTGTGAAGCTGAGCGCTCTTTCTCCAGGATGTCACATATAGAAAACAAATATAGGACAACAATGTCGAACCATCGACTAAATCATTTATCAGTTCCTTCCATAAATTGTAATTTAACGAAGGACTTACAATGTGATGAGCAAATAAAGGAATTTGCAGCACCAAAATGCAGAAAGGTTGCTTTATAATTTATGTAACATAACTACACCTAACCTGTCAATTTCCTTTGTAATAATGTTGTACAGTTGCTGTTTGTATAGACAAATAAAAATAAATAAAACTATTTTATTGTCCTATTTTTTTCTATATGCTTATCTACATCACTATAGAAAACAGTTTTTTGACAAAATGGCTATTAGGGCCCGAAAATAGTTTCAGCCCAGGGCCCCACAAATACACAATCCGCCCATGCGTATATATATGGAGATAATTATATTTAACGACATGGCGTAAGGAGAAGGGGACACATACCCCCTTCGAAACCCAAGATGATATTAGTCTGAAGGTTAATGTGGAGTTTTAAATAAAAGATGGATTCAGAACATTTTCTGCTGTTTTCTTTAACTTCTAAACATATGGAGCTCTCATGAGACGAAGAAGAATTTTGGATAGCGAACTTGGGTTTTCATCATTACTCGGCCACTCATCTTCAAATGGGAAGTCATTGCCGGAAGCAGTCTCACGTCACTACGTGAATAAAGATTAAATAATAATACAATAACTTAACTTTATTTCTTGTTGTGAATGTTGAAACGCAGAACGGAGGAAGAAAACTGTTGTTGATATCAAGGAAAAGATGGTTTGACTGATAGGAGCAGAAGATCAAGCTTAAACTAGATAAGACTTAATTGGGCAGACTTGTTCCCTATTCCGTGGTTGAAACTAAGAAAGTTTAGTCACTGATTCGAAGAGCCAGAAATCAAAAAGGTATTCGCACATATTTTCACTGGTCCATTTACGTGTCTTTAATAGATTTTTTGAAGAAAAAAAACTTAAATTTAAATGTAATATTACGATACAAAGAGGGTGTAATGGATATATTTACGATGGAACATGATATTTTGTGACTATAAAAGAGACCAAACCACGATACGAAGGAATGAACTAAAACAGCACTGTCTCTTCACATCGATTGTGGGTCTTTGAGACCATCGATAATTTTTTGGGGGTTTAAGTATAATTTTAGTGATTTAGGACAAAGAAACCTCCGTTAATTTCTAGCCCTGCTTTAAGTTTTACCTTGTAACAGCTTCTCAACTTTTTTCTTCTGTCATTCTGTGTTTTGACAAAAAAGAAGTTTCTGGTTTTAAGAACTGATAGTTGTGTCCTTGTTAGTGCCTCATTTACGTTGTTTAGCTTCATGTGTAGTTTATTCATGTTTTTTGCCTTGTCGCAGTTTGTCTCATGTTTTCTTTAGGTATTCTGTGCTTTGACAAAGAAGATTCTATTTTTTTTCAGTACAGGTGGTTTTTGTGCCCTTTATTTGGATTTTATTTACGTTGTTTAGCTTTATTCTTATGCATCTCAACTCTAACTTCACTTGGAAATCAGATCTTGTTAAATTTATCCTGCTTTATTTTAAAGTACACTGTTAAAATTTCCCTCCTAAAATTATAGTAAAATAACTGGCAGCTGCCTGTCCATCCGATTAACCGTAAAGTTTACAGTCAGGAACATTTTTTCCCTTTATGGCTTTGAAACCATTTACAAAAAGTATGGTTATAAAAAAATGAATACAAAACTATACGATTTTTTAACCATTATCAACTAGAATTTTTCAAAAACGTAAAAAATAATTATTACCATAGGAGCTCGGCTTTTCGTAAGGTAATGGGCATTGGAGAGTGCCGGACACTGGAAATTCTTCATGTGTCGAAGGGAATGGAGGAAATAGTGTGGTGTCAACACTAGGACTTGAACTCCAGTTCTTCCGGTCATGAGATTGGTAGATAAGCCCGCTCGGCTGTGATATGTACGAAGTAGCAAAGAACTAAGTAGCTTTTTTAAGTGGTTCTAGTTGGTGCGGTAAAACTCTAGTTGTTTAACCGTATTAGGTGAAACCAGTATTAACAATTACCAGTTATTAAACCATTCCAGCGAACTAGTTATTAAACAATTTTTTTCAAACTTAACAGTTTGATAACCATTTTATTTATGGTTATTTGACTGTTTTGATTAAATAGGGTAAAATAACCATTAAATAAATTGTTATTTAACCATTTTTCCGAGAAATTTCTAAAAGTGTACAACGCAGTATACACAAAACCAAACGTAATGAAAAGAAAAGGAAATTACTTACCATATGTTACTAGAGTAGCAAAAGAGAGGGAGGGGCACTTGCCCTGGACGTAAGTAACATCACACTTATAAGTACCATCATCCTCAATCCTCAATGGAGATATTTTAAGATAAGCACTTGAGTCTTCAAGGTAAAAATCAGCTCTGTCGGGATTAGCGAGCTCTTGTAAAGGTTTTTCGACAGCGTCGCTGAAAAGGTATAATCTCTTCCACTCGTTGGATACATTTTTAGTCCACGTGATGAAGTACACTTTGCCACAAGTCGACACATCCACGTCACAAGGTAACTTAGCTGCACCTCCCACAACTCCGATCACGTGCACGTTCTTTTCTTCTGCGGAAAAAAAAGAAATAAATCAGCACGTGTCATCATAATAGTTGAAACAAACAATTGTGAAGAAAATAATTTAACATCTATAGTTTAAATAAATATGTGATCACAGTTAANAATTAAATTTATTTTGGAAATTAAAGTAACCGAATTAAAAATAATTTTAATAATTTAAATTACTTCTGTATTGAATTTAAGTAACTAAAATTTATTTAGTGTTATCAAAATTAATAGCTAAATTTTGTTCATTTAAATTGAGAGTATAGTCCCGCAATGGACTGATCGTTAAGACACGGTTACCAGTAGATCACAGAAGTCAAGCATCACTGCCTGCTATTAGTGTGGGGGTGGGTAAAAACTTTGTTCATGTTGCGAAGGGACCTAGGGTGTGCGATATCGGTTCTCGTTAAACCGCAAATTGCTCGATTTCGCATGCAAGTCGTCAGGCTACCAATGCGGGGGAACCTATCCCCTCCACAGAGGATCAAAATTGGGATGGTATGTCTTCGGATCATCCTCAGGGATGTTTCCCAAACCGTCGCCAATAGCCCACTGTGCAACTCTAGTGCGAAGTAAATAAACTACTTCTACTACTTAAATTAAGAATAAAGTGTCATGGACCGTTGGGGTGACAACTACACAGTTTTATGATCAACAGCATGTCATCAACATAAACTGCTTTTACTTCCCACTTGGGTTGACACAGATCCTTCAAAATGTTGTTCTTTTTACCGAATGTTTGCATTACATTATTTATTTTAGGGTAGTAAAATTAATTTAAATAATTAAAATAGTAAAATCAGTATGTTTATTTCAAAATAATAGATTAAAACGAGAGTATGTATTATGACTAAAACTAATTTAAATTTAATATAGTAAAATTAAATAGTAAAATTATAGTAAATAGTAAACTAAATAATTAAATAGTAAATTTATAGTAAATAGTAAATGAAATAATTAAATAGTAAAATTATAGTAAATAGTAAATTAATTAACTGATTGTAAAATTATAGTAAATAGTAAATTAAATAATTAAATTATTAATAAAGTAAAATTAAATGTGAAAGAAAAATTTCAATGAATTTAAATACTAAAGTAAAATTTAGGTACTAATTTACCTAATACTAATTTACCTAATGATATTTTTTATTAGTACCTAATAAAAAAATTAGGTACTAATTTTACAGCAATAAAATGGCTTGTTTTGGAAAATAAATGAAAAACAATCTGTGTTAATGGACGAATTTCATTGAAAAACATTCGTCTTAAATCTATTTGCTGCTTTACTAATATTAGTCTTCACAAAAATCAATGCATAAAAATTAATTCCATCAATGTGTTATATGAATCATTGCTTTCTCTTAATTCGAGTATTATAGTTGTTTTATGATTAAAAGTTTTCATTTTTTCAATAATGATAGGATCCAACTATTCAAATAAGATATACACACTTCTACATAAAACTGCATACAAACTAAACACTGTTACCAAACAGGTTGATGCTTTGATTTGACCAAAGATCTATCTATATAAATAAAGCAGAGTGCTAACCGTATGCAAATGCGCAATTATGCAATCTATAACTGATTCGGTGTACTGTGCGCCAAAAAAGACGGACCACCATGAATAACTTTTGGTCCAAATGATCGGATATTGACGTTCTAGGACTCATTCTTGGAGGGAATGACCTCAAATATGCCAATTAATTAGTTCAGGCAATATTTTAAGTTACAAAATCAGACACAAAGACGTACTTTTTCTGAATAAAGTAACCCTTTTTTCCTGGATTCGGATTTCTAATCTCCAAAATATAGGGAGTAACCGCAATCTGGGTAATATGGCCCCCATAATTTCGTCAGTAGGTGGAAGAGGGATTTTTTGCGTCTTTCGCCAAATCTCGAGAACTTTTTAAGCAAAATGAAAAAAATTAAAACGCAATTATAATTTTTCTTTATCCAAAGATATTTTCATTCAAAAAATACATTTTAGTAAATATTTATTATTTTGTATCTGATAACAGTCGAAAAATGTTTTAATTGTAATGAATGCAATTTTTTCGCCATTTTAAAGTATGCAACTTTTCATGCGAAATACAAAGTTTGTGCGAAATCGGTTGAATAATTCCTGAGAAATCGAATTTTAAAGTTTTTAAGTTCGAAAATATTGATATTATCTGATTCGCTAAAAATGATAACAAAAATATTAGGATTTTAATGAATTATATTCGAGAATTCCAAGTAATTAATTTCGGTAATAAGTACAAGTTGTAATGAAAAAAAATTCCTATTCAAATACAAAATTAATAGAGAAAAGGTACTTATTCATCTAGGAAAACCATAAAAGATTGCCTTATTATTGACGCTTATGTTGTTTAGTTAATTTTAATAATAGTATTTCGTCGTTTTCCTACATGAATACTACTACTATTGAATAACAGTACTATTGACTACTATGAATGATACTACTATTGACTGGTGTTTTTTTATTATTAACTACCACAATTATTATAAAGGTACCTCTTTGGAAATATGTTTTTACGACCCATGGAAAATTTTTGAATATCAGGAAGTTGACATCGAGCTACAGCCAAATGATACAGAATATAATGATTTTTATTTTAAAGACAGCGAAAAAAGGGCATAAGTAAAGGATATGTATCTAACAAACTTTGTTGATTATGGTAATTTCTGACTACTAAGAATTAATTCCATGTATTACAATTACTCCAAATAATAATTATTTTTAATAAATCTTTATTTAAAAGGGACGAATTTCTAAAAGCGTGTTTTGCTTAATTTAATAACATAAGAAGCTACAAGGAAGGGCGGCAAATAGTAAAATATAAATAAAACATATTTTAGCTTACTTAAATGCGTCAGTATATGTCTTTTAGGTTTGTGTATGATTTAAGTCTTGATTAATACTGATGATTTAATCCTAATTTAGTTTTTTTCTCACCCCAAACGAAAAATAAGGGTATTCAGCTAGTTACGAATTAAACAAGTATCTCTTTTCAAGAATATAGCATTAAATGCTAGATAATTAATGTTTAATGCAAAAGGGAAGTCGCAAAAATGTATGCACTTAGTGCGGCATACTTAAAATAAGAAAAAATAAAAAAGTCATTAAAATCGAATTAATCATTGTCAAACTCAATCCAACACGGCCCCAGAGCAAGAATTACTTCCAAGAACAATCATCCAGCTTCATATGACGAATAAACTAACTTTTCGTAATTTTGCTTGAATCTAAAAAAATATTTTTTTGGCATTTAAATATTAATTTAAAATTTTTAAATGCTTGTTTTAATTTTTATTTTCGTCATTTTTTTTTAAAAATATGTGTTGACACTGACGATTATTAAAAAAACACTTCGTTAAAATTCCATTGTGTTCGTATGAGTTATAAAAGTAACTCAAGATAATACCGACGCAAATTTCATCAACACTTTCTCTCAACAAGGTTGTTACCCAAAAGGTACTTAACACAGGAAATGGAATAAAAAAAGAAACTCCAGCTGAATTATTTACAGCTTTAACTCAGTCAATGTTAACTTTTCAGGTTGTTTTCTTCCAGGTCAAGAAATGCATTCACTTTAGGAAATTACAACGAGAGAAAAATGAAGCCAAAAACGGCACCGCTGATGCGGAAACTCACCTTCGCTTAATATCCGTTTCTTTCAGCGAAATATCATGGAAAACTGCATTAAACCCACACTTCAGGCGAGGAATTTTTTTTTCCTTCTGAAATGGCGATAAACATTGTTGCAAGAAACAAAACTATCTTAGAACAAAAAAGTTCTTGTGTTACCTTTAGTGAATCCGGGTAATTGGTTCTATCTCCAACTATCATGAAAGATCAGAGGATTAAAACCACGGAGATTTTTGCGTTAGGTTAGAAAAGTATCAGGCGAACAGTGTGCTAAAAAAGAAACTACCGTGAATAATTTTTGATCTAATGATCGGATCTTCACGTTCTAGGACTCAATCTTAGTGGTTCGAGGAGGGAGACTTCAAATTTTCTAATTGATAAGTGAAGACGATATTTAAAGTTACGAAATGAAACATTAAAAGGTACTTTCTCTGAATGAGCATATCTTTTTTCGACGGTTTTGGATTTTTGACCCCCCCCCCATACAGGGTATAGCCACTATCTAAAGAATATGGTACATACAGTTTGGTCAGGAGAGCAATCGAAATTTTGGACCATTCATGTTAATTTAAATTTTTGCGCATTTCACCTTGTATCGGGTTTAGTGTTAATGAATAATATTTTTTATGTAAATACGTCCATTTGATTTCATGTTAGATTTGAATTTTTGCCATCACCTTATACAACAGTTCACAAATAAGTAACTGCATTTTATAATTTTTAGTAAAAAAAAATACATAAGATGGTGTTTTCAAGATACAAAAAACATTTCACGAAAATCTTATCTAAGAAAACAATTGGTACTAAGTCAAAATAGCTCACAGCGAAAAACTTCGATATTGACAAAAATGCAAATAAATTCTGATCACAAAGAAACAAAATTCTGTTGAGAGTGTTTCGCATTTACCTTCAAACCTATATTTTTAAAAATTTTATGTTGAGCGTCGCTAAGCAACAGGTTTTGTAAAAACAATTCACTTATAACGTTGACTCAAAAGTATTCACAGAATTTGTATTTACAACTACCTGCACTTTAGTAAGAACATTTGTTTTAGAACAAAATATGTTGTACATAGAAGGAATTGGCAATAGTTAATAAGATTGTTTCTTTGAAAATGCAAATAACTGCTTTAAAAGACGAAGAATAAAACAAGGAAGTAGATTTTTATCTATATATTTAATTTGACTTTACTTAGATATCAAGAGTCAGTTTCGCTTGAAGCAGCTAATTTTTTTTATTCCATTTTAAAACGTTTCGTTGAATTTTTTTTTCAAAATAAATCATTCTCTTAAACAAACAAGAATTTCCATCGTGAATTTCAATCTTGAAAACAAGTATTTTCAAAAATAGA